TAGATCAAGACATATTTATAGCCGCCAGAATTAGTACAAAATTCGTGCTCTAATTGCTTATAAATACCCATGCACAGTACATTTTTTAGTGTGGTTGATCATTGATTTTCATCTTCACAACATCATTCCAAGATCCAAAAACACATTCAACGATCTAGATTAACCTTTTGATTCTTAAGATCAATAAGCCACAAGTTTAGAAAAAAAAATCGAAATTCATATAATTAAAAACACCAACTTCCTAGATATCATTAGTAAGGTACTTTCTCAATAGATTTCAGAGGTCGCTAAACATTGAGGGAGGTTGGACCAGAAGTACAAGAAGTGTACAAGAATGATACGTTCTTGGTGTTCCACAGGAGATAAATAATTCTAGAAGATCGGGAGCGATACGAGAAAAGCACGTTCCAGTGGGTCTTGGAGATTGCAGGAATTAGATCGGCGAGTTTAGTGTGTTTTCTAAACTGGCTCCTACTGTAAGTTCTTATTGTCTATAGTGGAAACTACTGACTTAGTCCCAGAGTTTTTACCAAGTTAAGGGTTTTCTCCATCTTCAAATCTTGTGTTATTTACTACTTTAATTATTTATTGATGTAATTCAACATAGGATATTTTGACTTTATTGACTAAACATTTAAAGAGAGATACAGAGGTGATTCCAGTAAGTCTAGAAAGAGACCTAAATCTATGAGATATCATAAGTGTAAAAACTTTGGTCACTATAGAAAAAAAACATCGAAATTCATATAATTAAAAACACCAACTTCCTAGATGTCATAAGTGCCCTAATGATAAGAGAAATCAAGCTAAAACTATAATGCAACTCTCACTAATGATAAGTCTAGCTTGGATAATCAAAGTGAGATGTCTACACATGAGCAGAGTGGAAAATTTATGGCCTTCACTGTTAGGATTAAAAGTGAATCCGATAAGAACAGTGAGAAGGATGAAGAAGTAGATAGTGGAGAGCGATCCAAGGATGATTCTGAAAACGAGATGCAATTTGTGAGGCATATCAAAAATTATTTGAAGAGAGTATTAAGATTGAAGGTGAATAAAGTTGTGCTTAAGAAGGTCAATGAGCTTGAGTTAATTAGAGAGAAACTTGCAGCTAACCTTCAAGAGTCTGCCTTGTGCCTCAACAAATTAGAAATTGTAAATCGATCCCTAGAAACTATAAAGATATTACAGGTGAACTTGAGAAGACCTCAAGGAGAGTTAGTGAACTGATTGTTGAGAATCAGAAATTAGAAATTCAGATTACTAACCTTCTGAACGAACTTGAAGAATCCAAGTCTCAACTTCTTGTTTTCTCAAGTAGATCTCAAAAATTGGACAGTCTTTTGGGACTGAACAAGCCTGCTGGGAACAAGGGAGGCCTGAGATATAATCAGACCGATCATAATAGGGCTAGTACTTTCAAAACCACTTTTATCCCTGCCACCAACTTGATATTAATAAGACCTTGGCGTCATAAATTTTTAAATAGAAATAGAAATCAGAATTTCACTAGTGTTATAAATTAGGATTTTGATGGCCAAATTGACTTCGTTACTAATCAAGTGAGTCATTTGACCAAGTTTATGAAAAATTTGACTCGGGATAAGTCTTTCACTAGTTAGGTTTGGGTGGAAAAGAGTGATATGAAAAAATTAGAAGATGATCATTGTGCTCTTAAAGGTAAGAGCGCTTTGTATACCTAATTGATTAGATACTTTTGATACATGGTTATACTTTTTGATCGATTCATTCATTAGTGCATGCATTTCCTTTTTTGTTTAATTTTACTTTTTAGGTAAGTTGATTTTTTTTTAAATAAGAAAAAATGAAAAATTGAAAAATAAAAAATAGAGGGGATTCTTTATTACAACATGATATATAATTTACTTGAACATGTATGTTGTGACCAAGTATGAGTTTTTAATTGATGTGTTGTAGCATATTTTTATTACTTTGTTTAAGTTGATATGGAGTACTTAGTATATGTTTCTTCATATACTATCTAAATTGCACATACTATAATCTTGTGAGTAAGTCTTAACATCATGTGTGAGATTTGGAATGGCCCTCATATATTGGTAAGGTGACCTTAAACATGAATTGACCTTAATTTAGTAGACCTAAATTCAAGTACGTTCCCTTAAATAAAATAAAAATGTTTCATCTTATGCTCTTCTTCAAAATCTATTTGACTCGAGTAATTAAGCCCAAGGGGCTTTTTATAATCTGATGCCCTATGGTTAACTAACTTTGAGTCATTGGCCCAAAACTCACTACGGGTGTCATCTAAGTCGCTTAACGAAGAAGAGACTACACATAAGATGTTAAAAAATGAAGAGAAAAATATAAATTGTGTGAAAAAATATATATGCTCAAAGTAAGGGGGAAACAATAATAATGTACATGAAAAAAAAAAAAAAAGAGCTTTATGTATATGTCCTAATATGCATTATTAGTTTGACTTTCATTAGTAGAAGAATAAACTTATTTAACAGTGATATTTAGTATGTTCGTTCTCACAAATTTAAGATTTGGAGTCTTGATCAAAAAGAATTAGTGGCACTTAATACACATGAGTCACTTATACAATTTACTCCATTTAGACTTGAACTGAGTATATGGGAAAGTTTACTAATCATTGAATATGCTTGGGCATGCTATCAATTGCATATTTGAGTTATTATATATTGTTGTTACCTTCATCATGAGTGAGAAAAGGAGGAGAGATGATGAGATTTTTTAAATTTTAGTTTAAATTTTAGATGTTTTTAAATTTTAGTTTATTTTATAGTAAGGGAGAGAATTTTTTGGGAGATTTCTTTAAGGTTTAGCTTTTTGAGTTTTGATGTTTCGTGATATTAATGTTTAAGGCCCTGTTTGGTACACATTATTTTTTTTCATTCTCATTCTTCTACTCATTTTCAACCACACATTCTTCAATAAAATAATATTTTCCATCACATCAATACTTTTCCTTCATTTTTAATTACACATTCTCCATCAATCTACTATTCAATAATACATTCTTTCAAAAGAATGTATCCCAAACACACTCTAAGTTGGTGTTTTGATTAATATTAGTATTACTTCTCAATCAAGCTAGCATATGATGATAGTCTATTTAATTATTATATTTCATGTATCACATGCTTTTACACTTGGTATTTGAGTTATTGATTTCAGGAAACAGGTTTCAAGAAATGCAATAGACAGACATTCAGTTTAAGTTTGGGTGGATTAATTTTGTTTTTACATCCTTTACTTGTATTATATATTTTTACCACAGAATGACAAAGGAGAAGATTGTTAGGTTTTTAGTTGTATTGGCAATTCTTTAGACAAATGATTATTGTAAAAGAATAGAATTATTACAAAAGAGTTGTAAAAGTCAACACGAGCAACCGCAAGGCTTGTCGGGCGCTAGCTCTGCCTTGAGTCTACCCAACCACCTCTTTCCTTCACCCATATTTGTGCATTACTTTTTTGCAAGTGATATCTATGAATAATTTTAGCATCCTAGATGAGCATTGAAATTTCATTTTCCTTATAAAGTCATATATTCAAATCTATTATAACTTCAGTTGTCGTTACTGAAAAAATCCATCGATGGTT